AAAAAAAAAAAAAAAAAAAAATCAAGTTAGGAGGTTGTTTTGCTGATCTTATTTAAAATATCTATAAGCTGTTATATCTTATTTTTTACAAGTGCACTTATAAGATGTTATCAAACAATTAGGGGTATATTATTGTCAGTTAGGATATTATCAGATCTAAGGAAATCATTTTTTGCATCTTATAAGCTCTTTTATGAAGATACTATCAACCAAATTTTAAGAGCTTACACGATCTTATAATTTTAACAACTATTGAGATGTTTTGAAGCTTTATGAAATCAACAAAACACCCTCTCAGTATTCGGGATAATTAAATAATGGGATTGCGTGTGCTGACACATTATGGATCTTTGATACCAACTTTTACACTTGAAGTACGTCATATCACACGCACGCATACACACACACACACACACACACACACACGCACACAGAGTACCATATGAAGAGACAGCCTCCTGAAAGAGCATGAAACTGCTGTCGACAACTAGTTTTATAGACTTATGAATGCACGAACTGAGGGTGGGTCCCGCTCCAATCATGCTCCCATGGGAGAGTAAAAGGAGTCCTTGCATCATATTGAAATACGCCGACATGTTTTCTTCAAGAGCCTTTACTCCAGGGGTGTCTCCAGTGTAAAGCATCCCAACTGAGCTCCAGATGAAAAAAATAAATACATTTGAACTCTTAATGATAACTTAAGCTCATAAGGTACACAAAATGATTCCTTGATGGAACAAAGCAAAGTGATGTCAGCCTTTTCTGTTCCTTTTTTAATCCTTTTTCTTTAACTATACAATGAACTTATGAAAAGTATATATCGCATGTCCGACAACTCCATCATGGATTCGGAAAGATACAAAATGTGTTGTCGTAATACAAATGAAAATTTGACAGGAACAACAGAAAGGCTTGGGTGATGTAACCATTGGCAGACTTCATATGTGTGTCGACCATTATCGAAGGCTCAACTTTCATTGTTGAGAATATATGAGTTAGGTCCAATAAATCTAACAGTTCAAAGACACTTAGGATTCAAATAAAGAACTACCTATACTTGCTCAACAATCATTAACTACAAACTAACCAAAAAAACCTAAATGAAACAGAATAACTTGAAATCGGAGTAATGACATTCAGACACCAAGAAAAGGTTATAATAAACTAGGAATCGGGGTAATGCCAGCCCAGCTCGTAGTCACAGTGTGTGTGTGTGTGTGTGTGTGTGTGTGTGTGTGAGAGAGAGAGAGAGAGAGAGAGAGAGAGAGAGAGAGAGAGAGAGAGACCTGTTGTGGCTCGTTTGTGGACATTTTCACCCATTTGAATAACATCTTTCCAGCTCACTTTTTCAAGAGACGATGCCGGCGTTTGATCTAACACCTGCACAGACAATTCATTCAAACTTAGGAAAACACAATTCAACCTCGAACAGAACAGAATCCCAAATTAATTTGTAACCTAAAACAGTTACTGTCTCAATAACAATGGCAACAAAGATTATTCTAAATGGGAATGAATAACAACAAAAGACAGAAAGAGTAGGAGGAGGGTATATATCTCGAAGAACCTGAAAAGTTTCATGTATGATGTTGAGGTGGTTGCTCAACGCTTGAGTAAGCTGCTCCCTCGCCGCTTTTGCCATCGCCGTTACACAGACGACTACTGTTGGAAAATTATTGGCCGCTAGTGTTGCAGGGGTGATTTATTTATTTATAATAATAATAATAAAAAAAAAAAAAAAAAAAAAAAAAAAAAAAAAAAAACCTACAAAATAAGTGGAAAAAAAAAGGAGCAGACAAAAATAAAATAATGAGCATGTTTGTTTATGAAATTTTTTGAATTTGTTTTGAATTTTTGGTTTGGTTTGGTTAATTTTCAAAAGGTGGTATAGTTAGTTATTAGTGGATTTATTAAAATAATATTTATAATAAAATGATTAAAATTAAATTTGTGATTGATGGGTTATGAGTATTAGGGTTTGATTAAAGAATTCGTGATTTTATTTTTACCAGGTATAAATGGCGTTCATCGGACCATACTTTTTTAATGTGTAGTGGAATCATCCCAAAGAGGATTTAGATTCATTTTCAGATTTTATAAATCGTCCAGATGGTTCATTTAGCATTGGGGAGAAGATATCATTTCAACAATTTGTAGATATGCTTTATGACAATTTTGGGTTCCGTCGAGATGATTGGAAAATAGAGGGGATTAGTTTACTGACTAACCGGCCCGATGGTTCGTGGAATATTGAAAACTTGAATACTGATAGTGCTTTGCAGTGGATATATTATTTTCCTGCTTTCTCCTATGTGTATTTGCATTTAGAGTTGAAGCAGGTTACGCAGGCACCTACAGTGATTACATAGTTTGAGGATGTTTCCCCTTTTTACGGGGGAGTGCCTGATTTTGAGGGTATGTCCACTTCGGATGTTCGTAATTTTGGCGAAAAGACAAGCTCAACAGTTAAAGAGGAACCCGATGATGATTTCATTCCTGATGAAGACGATTTCACAGATGATACATCATAAACGGCATCGGATAGATCAATAAACAAGGAGAGTGAACCAGAGTTTATTGAAGAGCACCCATTCCTAGTAGCGGTCAGCACGTGTATCGCGAGATGGGTGAGTGGGACCCGTCGTGTGTAGACCGGGATGAGTATGCTCTCCCTCGTTGGAATGGAAATGTCGAGATTATCCGTTTGGGTACTGTTTTTCGGTCCAAGGAAGAAGCACAGTTGGGTATCGTGAATTGGAATGTTAGTAGATTGAGGGAGGTTAAGACAACATATTCGAATAAGAAATCATTCAAGGTGGTGTGCAAATCTGACGAAGCTCAACCTTGTCCGTGGAAGGCTCGGGTGACGCACTGCACACGGGCTCATGAACTGTGGGAAGTAACGGAATGGACCGAGAGGCATAGTTGTATGCAAGAAGTCGACAAAAAATGACCACAAAAATGTTACCGCCACGATGATTTCAAATATTGTCATGACCAAGATTCAAAAGAAACCCGACTATAGTGTTACCCTGATCCAGGAGGATGTAAAAAAATGTTGGAAAGTCGATGTGAGCTATAAGACGGCGTGGCACGGGAGGAAAAAAGCCATGAACCGATTGTATGGAACTTGGGAAGAGAACTTCGCAAAACTCCCCCAGTAAGAAAAAATTTATTACAAATGTACGTGTTATTTGTCTCACTATGTTTATGTATTGACGATTACGTTTTGTAACGTGCAGGTTTTTGCGGCGCTTCAAAGCGCGAATCCCACTACAGTTGTACAGTGGAAATGGCAGGGTGGGGAAATGGCGGCCCACTATGAGCAGAGAATTCAAATTTGTTTTCTGGGTTTTTGGTCCCGCCATTCAGACCTTCCAGAAATGCCCGCCAGTAATTAGCATGGACAACACGCACTTGCGTGGCTCTTACAAGGGGAAGTTACTTGTGGTCGTTGCACAGACTGCGGATAAGCGGTTATTGCCAATCGCGTATGCGATTGTGGATGAAGAGAGCAGGGAAAGTTGGTCATTTTTCCTGACAAATATCTGGCAACATGTTGTCGGTGACAGACATATATGCTTTCTTTTGGACAGGGATGCTGGCTTACAGAGTGCTGTGGATTCATTGGCGGCTTAGCAAGAACCCGCTGCATATCACCGGATCTGTCTTCGACACCTTCGGAGCAACGTGATTACTAGGTACAGGAATAGCAAAATCCAAAATTGGTGTTGGGAGTTGGGTTCACAGCTTTCAGAGTGAAAATTTCAACAGATACGAGAGCGGCTTTCGGATTTCAATCCGGATGCATACAATTACCTGTTCGGAATTCCTCTGAATATGTGGACCCTGCTTAGAGACGAGGGAGGACGTAGATGGGGTACATTGACGACCAATATGTCTGAGAGTTACAACAACGTCCTGAAAGGTGTTAGGTTCTTGCCCTGGCGAGCTTTGATACGCGCCACATTCATGAAAACTCTGGACTTGTTTGAGCAGGAACAAAAGAAGTCCACGAGATGCAGTAATGCCCTTGCTAGTGCCCACTATGCCGCTTATTGCGAATTGAAGAGTGCGGCCGCAACTCATAAGGTGAAATGTTCGAACGCGGCGAGATCTCTTTACGAGGTGACAACGGGTCTACGGGCGAGTGGTAGAGGGGACAAAAGGTATATGGTTTATTTATTTATTGTATAATTTTATATTTTGCTCTCATGCTATAGCTGTGTGTCGGCAACTTAATACTCCACCGAAGTTATTGTACGATCCCTACTTTTGGACGGAGAACTGGGTAGCTCAATTTTCTAATTGGAGTTTTGTTCTGATTGGTGATCCACACACATGGCCGCTGGTCAGATGGACCTTACTACAACATTGGGAGAGGATCATCACGAAGCCTGGACCCGGTCGCGCGCAAACGAGGCGTCATCGCATGCAAATGGATCGTCGGGCACGCCGCCGGAATGATAGAGGGCAGTGTAGTAGATGTGGTGATACAAAGCATTTTGTGGATGACTGTCCGTCCTCACATCCTCGCACTGATAGATCTAGACACCGTGATGAGTGGGGAAACTAGATTTGTTAGTGTGTATTTTTTGATGTGGGACTATTGTTTTTTTATTGTTTACTTTGATTTGTTGGACTATGTTTGGATTATATATTTTTGTTATCTTGGACTGTATATGAGTTGGTTTGTTTGTGTTTTCTTTTTTGTGTAGCTAGTTGTTCTGAAATTGTGTAACAGGTTGTAGATGGTGGAACAATATTTTTTTTTTGGTGTAACAGGTTTTTGTGTAACAGGTACTCTTGCACTCTCTCTGTTCGCTTAAGAAGAAGCATTTTTTTTTTTTATGTTTCCCAGGAAACTGTAGTCAGAGAATACGGTTTCTATAACATTTAATTAAACCGTATTTCAGAAATATAGTTTCTAAAAAAAATGATACGAGGATCCCAAATTGGGGACTCGAACCCGAGTCAGTGGGCGAGTCCGGTTTCAGAAATACGGTCAAGTGATCTTCTATATGATTCTCATTCTTGTTTTACTACTGAAATTACGAAAGTTTTTGAACCTACTTCTTATTCTCAAGCTGCCAAAAATCCACTTTGGCAAGATGCTATGCAAAAAGAACTAACTATTCTTGAAAGTACCAACACTTGGACTTTAACTAACCTTCATAGTGGTAAACATTCTATAGGTTGCAAAAGGGTTTATAAAGCTAAATATAAATCCAATGGCTCAATAGAAAGATACAAAGCTAGGTTGGTAGTTAAAGGCTATACTCAAGAAGAGGGCATTGACTATTTTGAAACATTTTCCCTTGTTGCTAAAATCACAATTGTTAGGTTTCTTATTGCATTAGCATCTATTAAGAAATGGCACATACATCAATTGGATGTTAGCAATGCATTTCTCCATGGGGATTTAGATGAGGAAGTATATATGACTCATCCCCCAGGCTACTGTTTAAAAGGTGACACTAGAGTTTGCAAACTGAACAAAAGCCTTTATGGCCTAAAGCAGACATCAAGGCAATGGTTTAATAAACTGACTACTTGCTTAGTTTCTTATGGTTTTGTTCAATCCATTTATGATTGCTCTCTATTCACCTTTTCAGACACTAACACATATTTTTTTATTGCCTTACTTGTTTATATGGATGATGTAATAATAGTTGGCAATAATCTGAGTAAAATCACATCCATTAAGAAACACCTTGATGTTTGTTTCACAATTAAAGATCTAGGTGTTCTGAAATACATTTTAGGGCTTGAGTTTGCACATTCAGATTTAGGTATAAACATGTGTCAAAGAAAGTATGCACTAGACATACTTAAAAATACAGGTTTCCTTGGTTGCAAACCTGCCCACACTCCAATGGACTGCACCTCCAAACTGAGTATGACAGGTGACAAAAGTGCCCCTACAGATGCATATGCTTATAGGAGATTAGTAGGGATACTTCTCTACTTAACCATCTCCAGGCCAGACATCTCCCACAGTGTACATCTTCTCAGTCAATTCATGTCACAACCAACTTAAAATCACCTATCAGCAGCCCACAAGATACCCAGGTATATAAAATGTATAGTTGGTAATGGCATTACTTTTTCCATAAATTCTTTTTTGCAATTAAATGCTTATTGTGATAGTGACTGGGCTGGATGTTTAGACACTAGAAAATCTCTTACTGGTTTTGCAATTTTCCTTGGAAATTCTCTTATTTCATGGAAGTCAAATAAACAACCAACCATTAGTAAATCATCAGCAGAGGCTGAATATAGAACTTTAGCTTCAACATCTTGTGAAATTCAATGGGTAATGTATCTCTTTGATGACTTTAAAATTGCAAATTCAACCCCAGTTCCTGTCTTTTGTGATAGTAAATCTGCTATAGCAATTGCTACTAACACTGTCTACCATGAAAGGACAAAGCATATACAAATAGATTGTCATTTGATCAGGGAAAAGATTGCTCAAAGGATCATCCAGCTGCATCACATCACAACTAAGGACCAAATTGCTGATATACTTACAAAACCTCTCCCAGGACCTACGTTCAGTCATCTACTTTCCAAGCTTCACATGAACAACATCCATGTCAAGCTTGCGGAGGGATATTAGAATAATATAAGTTGTTGTTT